AAAAAAAAAAAACAAAACAATACTGAGAAAATTGGAGGTAGCAGATGTAGACAACTCTTTTGAGTTTTGCCACCAAGAGAACAAAGCAAGAGTGAGGGCAGGAGGTAAAACCTAGCTAGGGGAAATAAGGCACAGATGTGTTTAGATGGAAGAAGTTACAGGTATTTTTATATTAGAATGTTCCAGTAGAGAGAAAAATGGATAATATATGAAAATATGAGGAGAATGGTTATAAAGGGTGTGGTGCTGCACGCCTGTGATACCTGTACTCGAGAGGCTGAGATAGGAGGAGCATGAGTGTGAGCCCAGCCCAGGCAATTTAGTGACTGAGTGACCCTGTCTTAAAGAAGGGCTGGAGATGTAGTTTGGTAAGAAGGCCCTGGGTTCCATACCCAGTGCTAGAGGAAACAGGGGAGGGAGGGAGAGAGAAGAACATGGTTAATACAGATAGGAGTATGGACCGTGTATCTACAAAAAGCATCTAAGTTCCTAAATTGCTCAGGCTGGCCTCAAACCTTCCAGAGTGATGAGATTTCAGGTGTGTACCACCATACCCAGCAGACAACTTTCTTAATTTTATTTGTCTTTCATACCATACCCATGGGCTTCTATGTTTATATGGTGCTCTTGGATATTTTTGTTTGCTAGTAGTGTTTAGGTTTGTTCTGAGACAGGATCTCTGTAATCTGGCTTAGCCTTGAATTTACTATGAAGCCCAGGATGGCCTTGAGTTTGCATTTGTGGCCGACCTCCTGCCTCAGCCTCCCAAGTACTGAGATTACAGACATGCACCACTATGGCTGGCTCACTAGAAATGTGTTTGTTTTTGAGACAGTGTCTCAATATGCAGTTCAGGCTGGCCTTGAACTTTTAACAGTCCTCCTACCTTGGCCTCCTTGAGTACTGGGATTGCAGAAATGCACCACTACTTCTAGCTTAACTGCCATCTTTTTTTTTTTTAATTTTATTTATTTATTTGTGTGTGTGTGCGTGTGTGGCCAGCTCAGCCCACCAGTGGGCAGGGCTGGCTGGCATGTGGTGCTGGGGGATTGAACCATGGTCCCTGTGCTTTGTTAAGCTTGTTCTAAGTAGGTGCTTTAGACCACTGAGCCATCTCACCAGCCCCTTAACTGCTATCTTTGATGGAGTACCAAGCAACATGGCCCCTTAGATGCGTAATGTAGCATCTCACCTTGCTCCCTGGTCTTTTATTTTCTTACTGATGCAGGGCTCATGAGCAGCTAAATGTGAAACATGAACCACTCCAGCTCATCCAGCCTCAGTTTGAGACACCGCTGCCTGCCCTGCAGCCTGCTGTGAGTAGATGCTTGGGGGTCCTGCAGAGCCTCACTCTCCCTCAGGCACCAACACTTCCTGTTCTATAGTGACTTCCCTGTGGTGAGCTCAGTTCCCAGCTGAGGACTCAAAGGTGTGGACTTTGCTGGCTGTTAAATGTTAATTCCACCTTGTAGGGTTAGAGGGCATATGAGAGTGCTTGGATTAAGGAGAAAGCTGGGCTAGGATATAGCTCAGTGGTAGAGCGCCAGCCTGGCATGTGTGAGGCCTGGGTTTGATGCCTTGCATGAAAAGGCAAGAGAGAAGAAAGCTTTGTGCTGGCTTTCAGGCTTTAGACACTCAGGTTCATAACGTAAGTTTAACTGCCCACATCTTCACATGCAGACAAAGTATTTTTTAACTTTTTGGTCCAATACAACCTGCCTAATTTTTTCCTGTCCCAGTGCATTCTGTAATGTTATGAACCAGTTGGATTTAACTGGCTAGTTTGAAATTGGCAGGAATGGAAGTATTGACATCATAGAAAATGGAAAATAAAAGAATAAAAAAGGGATTGTTTCTAGGGCTGGGGAGATAGCTCAGTGGAATTGCTCAAGGTCCTGAGTTCAATCCCTGGTGAAAGAAAGAAAGAAAGAAAGAAAGAAAGAAAGAAAGAAAGAAAGAAAGAAAGAAAGAGGTGCATACCTATGTATTCTGATTTTAAGTTCAATACTTCCTATACTAATCTACATTTGCTTCTCCAAATAATGTCTGGCCCTAAGGAACTTGAGATTAAATAAGGTAGCAGTTGTACGATCAGATATTCCACACAGACCCAGGCCTTCATCCTTGCGTCACTGTGCTCAGCTCACTGGTGCTGGTGTGCGGCTTGGTCAGTGTAGTGGTGCCGTGAGCGCTGGCTCTACTTGGCTGCTTGCAAGGGTTTCAGTCTTGTTTGACCTGGATGAGGGCAAGAGATGATGGGAGTTTGGGTAGCTCAAGCCAGAGGGAGGGCTGAGCTGCCCTCTCGTGTCTCCTGTGTCTCACCACTCTTAATGATGGCTTAGGTAAGTCTTGTTTCCTTTAGGTGTTCCCTCCCAGCTTCAGGGAGTTGCCACCTCCTCCTCTGGAACTGTTTGACTTAGATGAGACATTTTCTTCTGAAAAGGCACGCCTCGCTCAAATTACTAACAAGTGTAAGTTTGGCTGTTTTCTTTTATGAGTAGTATTTAACCGTAAACCTCTGAAATTTGCTGAAAGAGAAGCTTAGAGATTATTTAGGGAGAACAAGATATGAACAGATATATAAAGTTAAATGTTCATTTCATGTGAACGATACTGGCTGTTTCTTCTTAGGTCAGTTGTCTCTATGAGTCTGAACATGCTAAGCAGAAAGCCCTCAATTCTGACTTACCAAGTCAGCTTGCTGAATCCTAACCCTGGCCACCACCTAGCAAATCTAGGTCACTGATCATAAGAACAGTTAGATAAGAAAAATGAGTCAGGCCCACACCGAGTAGAATCATTATGTATTGCAAACATGTGCTCAGAAAAACAAAAATTTTAAAAGCAAATTAAAAAAAGAAAAGAAAAGAAAAATGCAGCAGTGCCTGAGGATCACAGAGATTTCAGATTGGTAGACCAGCACACCACCCTGAGCGGTGCCTGAGGGAATGAGCCTGCAGGTCGCACAGCTCCAGGCCGAGGTGCTCCTGACTGTTGACTCCAGGTGTGCCCTGCCTCCAACACAGCAGACAGCCTGTACACACATGCCTACCCATGCTGACAGTGACCCTGCTCCTAGGAATTGAATCTAAGATCAGGGGCTGGTGAGATGGCTCAGTGGTCTAAAGCACCTACTTAGAACAACCTTAGCAAGGCACAGGAACCACGGTTCAATCCCCCAGCACCACATGCCAGCCAGCCCCGCCCCCTGGTGGGCTGAGCTGGCCACACAAGCACACACACACACACACACAATAAAAAATAAATAAATAAATAAATAATCTAAGATCAGTGAAGGTACGCAGATGACATCTACTCTTTTTTTTTTCTTTGTTTGTTTGTTTGTATTTTTAGGGAAGGGTCTAGGTGTTGAGGGTCTCACTACTAGATCGGATTCATACTGATCCTGTTTACAGCCTCCTAAGAGCTGGGATTACAGGTGCACACCACCACACCCAGTCTCAATTGCCATCTCAGCACACCCCTGGGGCAGGGCCAGCATGGCAGGCCTGGGTCTATTTATTTTAAAAATACAATAAAATTGGGAGAGCCTCAGTGTCCATGAACAAGAGCATAGTAGTAAATTGTGTCACATTCAGTTGGTGATGGGTCAGTGTATGTAGTCATAATGGCAAGAGATTTACGAAGGCCAGGAAGTAACATAGACAGAAATTAAAAATAAATCCTACCAAAAGAATAAATAAATAAATCCTACTAAAAAGAACAAGATAGGGGCTGGTGAGATGGCTCAGTGGTCTAAAG